GAATCAACCTGGGGAACGTCCCCCAGGGCAGTTGCATGTTGGCCACCATGGGAGAGATTCAGTGTGACTTGATCCTTTCAAGATTTTTGCCTGTAGGGCTACTAGGTACTTGAAGAATGAAGTGAACCCAACACTAATAAGGTAGTGAGTTATCATTTATTACCTGATATGAAGGGAATAAAATATGCTATTAACATGACATAAAAACAGAGTTTCTCCCTCATTTTTTCTCAACACTCATCAATGATGGTTGCTAATAAAAATAAGTTTCCACTACCAACCTTATAAAACAAAGCAAAATAAGCAAATAAAACCATAGAACACCTACTTTTCTTTTACATCAAATACTTTGTTTCTGAGTGCAGAGAATTAACTATGTTGTCAATGAAATTAAGCCAATTTTGGTAATTTAGATTTTCCAAACCATTATTTCTTGTATCCAGATGCAAATATTTTACCTTAGGGATAGGGACTTTATAGATCTACCAAAGAATGGGGCCCTCTTTGTGAATAGCTATTTATTTTCCAGTTAGTAAAGATCATAGCATAGACTACATCATAGCACAGTACACTGTACACATGACTACAAATATCTCCACTTAAAGATTGTCAGGACCAAGCATAATGGTTCATGCCTGTAATTCCAGCACTTTAGCCTGGGATTTTGTGTTCTTCCCTTTTGCAACAGCCTGAAAAACCAACATAATCATATCAGGATGATCACATTATAACGGGGTGTAGGCCTGTGTTGGACTTCCCATAGGTTTGAGTGTGAGTCTATGCACATCCTTACCTTCTGTGGAACCATAGCTATAGTAAGATTGGAAGTTGTTCATTTTTGCCATCTGCTTCTGGGAGTCTTTCTTATGACACAGTGCTCCACAGGAGGAAGAAAATCTCTGTACATAGTTTGTGCCTCTTGTTTGCATCTTTCTTGAGTCTTTTTTTCTTTTTAATTGACTGCCAATTCTCATTAGCTGCTTTATTTCAATTCTTTATGTAAGTAGAAACATAAGGTTCCCTGCCTTCCAAACATTATCTGCATTTCTATAGCTATGAGGTTATATAGGCCATTTTGTTAAAAAAAAAAAAAACAAAACCAACCTGACCACTTAAAAAATTAGTCTCCCCTCCAAATTCTCTCCACTCTTCACTCTAGAGTCCATTACCTTTCAACAGGCATTTTTCTTTCAAGTGCTATGAGAAGGGGTGGGGAGCACATATTGACTACCAACTGCAATCACAAATATTGCAAAAAATGTTAGACTTCATTTGATTGAGGAAAGCGATGGATAAAACGGAAAGTCATAGACAATGAGGATATGGCAGACTCAAGAGCAGTTACTGTTAAAAAAGAGAAAATCTAAGAGCCAGGGGAGGTGGCTCACGCCTGTAATCCCAGCACTTTGGGAGGCTGAGGTGGGCGGATCATGAGGTCAAGAGATCCAGACCATCCTGGCCAATATGGTGAAACCCCATCTCTAGTAAAAATACAAAAATTAGCTGGGCATTGTGGTGCGCACCTGTAGCCCCAGCTACTGGGGAGGCTGAGGCAGGAGAATCACTTGAACTGGAGAGGCAGAGGTTTCAGTGAGCCGAGATTGTGCCACTGCACTCCAGCCTGGTGACAGAGCAAGACTTTGTCTCAAAAAAAAAAAAAAAAAAAAAAAAAAAAAAAAAAAAAAAGATAAAATCTACAAGGATTATGAATGACAAGGATTATGTGCTTCAAGAAAGGAAGATTTGGCCGGGCGCGGTGGCTCAAGCCTGTAATCCCAGCACTTTGGGAGGCCGAGGCGGGTGGATCACAAGGTCAAGAGATCGAGACCATCCTGGTCAACACGGTGAAACCCCGTCTCTACTAAAAATACAAAACATTAGCTGGGCATGGTGGCGCGTGCCTGTAATCTCAGCTACTCAGGAGGCTGAGGCAGGAGAATTGCCTGAACCCAAGAGGCGGAGGTTGCGGTGAGCCGAGATGGCGCCATTGCACTCCAGCCTGGGTAACAAGAGCAAAAACTCCGTATCAAAAACAAAACAAAACAAAACAAAACAAACAAACAAACAAACAAAAAAAAACAAGAAAGGAAGATTTGTGTTTCAAGGGATTAAGAGAGGCTCTTGGGACATTAATTGGTACAGCCTTCACAAATTTTTGCAAAGATGAAACTCTTTACAGCTGTGCTGCTAAACTAAATGAAAAATATCACATCAGGTCATCTAACAATTTTTAATAAATTTTATTTTGGAATAATTTTAGATTTATAGTGCGAAGATAATACAGAGCTCCTGCCTATCCCTCGCCTAGTTTTCTCTAATGTTAATATCTTAAATTACCGTGGTATATTTGTCAAAACTAAGAAACTGATATTGGTATATTACTGTTAATTACACTCACGGTTTCATTCAGATTTCACTGATTTTTCTCCATGAATGTCCTTTTTCTCTTCTAGGATTGAATCCAGGACATGGCATTATAGTTAGCGCCTACCAATTTTGTCATAAAAATTTTATATAACAAAAGTCCCAATCAACATTTGATTCAGTCTTTAAGAGTTAGTTGAGTTGCATTTGTAACTAGAATTTTGTTAAATAATAATACATTTTAGTCACATTTTAAATTTCAATTTTCAAATTGGAGTACAAATCAGATCATTTCTTATACAAGCTACTATCAAATTTCGCTTCCCCCTCCCTCCTTCCTTTGCTCCCTTCCTCCCACCCTCCATCCCTCTCTCCCTCCCTCCTTTCCTTCCTTCCCTCCCTCCCACTCTCCCTCCCTCTCTTCTTTCTTTGACAGAATTTTGCTCTTGTTGCCCAGGCTGGAGGACAATAGGGTGATCTTGGCTCACCACAACCTCCACTCCCCAGGTTCAAGCGATTCGCCTGCCTCAGCTTACCAAGCAGCTGGGATTACAGGCGTGTGCCACCACACCCGGCTAATTTTGTATTTTTGGTAGAGACAGGGTTTCTTCATGTTGGTCAGGCTGGTCTCGAACTCCCGGCCTCAAGTGATCTGCCTGCCTCGGCCTCCCAAAGTGCTGGGATTACAGGTGGGAGCCACCGCGCCTGGCTTTGCTTCCCATTTATAAAAAAGTGACTTTAATTGGTTTCCATTATACTAGCTTTTCTCGGACAACTACAAAAACTGTTAGTTGTTAGAAGGGCCTTCTTAAAATATGTAAAACAACATGTTACGAGGCTCTATGGATGAAAAAATAAGTGAGTTTGATTTCTGCATAGTCAGTGGAACTCTATAATATGAAGTCTTTGACCTTGAGGATCTGGGATTAAAAAAGTGCCACAGGTTACAGCCTGTGGGGTTTTACTATGTTGGTCAGGATGGTCTTGAGCTCTTGACCTCATGATCTGCCCACCTAGGCCTCCCAAAGTGCTGGGATTACAGGCATGAGCCACCACATGTGACCGACCTATTTAATACCGAACCAGAGAAGGATGAGGGAGAGTGATTCAGTCACTTTTGGGTCCCAATTAATCAATGAAACTAATTAATGAGTACATGTTTCCAACAGAGTCACGTGGACCAATTCAGAGTTACATTTGAATTCATGTTATATAGAAACAATTTGATATTGGAATTCTTAACATTAGTGTGGCCTGTGCTTTTCTTTTTAAAACTGGGGGAGGATTATGGAGAGTGGCCATGGAAAACATTCTGCAAAGTAATATTTTGAGTACACAGGCTGCAACCTGTGGTACTTTTTTCATCCCAGGTCCTCAAGGTCAACAAACAAGACCAGAAGAAGTCTTATATGAAAATATTCTCTTTTAATTCCTATCCATGTAGTGATGAGAGGCTGGTGCCTACGACAGTGTTACAACAGGAGACATTGAAAATATGTGCTATCCTTCGCAAGCTCTGCAAGAAGCACTGTCTTTAATTCAACAATACTATAATAGAAACGATTATTTGCAACTTAAAAAACTTTAAATATTATATCCATGGTGCTTATTCAAAGTGCTTTCACATGCCTTTAACACATGGACAACTGTTTTATGCATAACTTTTTATCAAATTATGACCGTGGAATGACAAGTTACAGATGTTAAGACAATGCTCAATCGCTTATACTACACTTTCAATGAACAGTATGTACAGTTTCTGTAATGCTTTTATTTTCTTTTTTTTTTTTTTTTTTTTTTTTTTTTTTTTTGAGATGGAGTTTCGCTCTTGTTACCCAGCCTGGAGTGCAATGGCGCGATCTCGGCTCACCGCAACCTCTGCCTCCTGGGTTCAGGCAATTCTCCTGCCTCAGCCTCCTGAGTAGCTGGGATTACAGGCACACACCACCATGCCCAGCTAATTTTTTGTATTTTTAGTAGAGACGGGGTTTCACCGTGTTGACCAGGATGGTCTCGATCTCTCGACCTCGTGATCCACCCGCCTCGGCCTCCCAAAGTGCTGGGATTACAGGCTTGAGCCACCGCGCCCGGCAATGCTTTTATTTTCTATTATGTTTGTTCTGATTGCATACATTGAAATGCAATTTTACATTTATTGAAACTAATAATGAAAAATTTGGGCTTGTATTTTGCACATATTTTTCTACTAATTCATTTTTACTGTATTTTATAGAAGTATCTTTTACTGACAGATCGGAAAATAAATAACCTGTCCTTTCCCACGGATAATCTGGGAAGCTACTCTAGGAGGCTATTTTCAGGCGGACAATAAAAGCATAGTAAGAACGAGGGCCCTGGAAAAAGCTTCCGCGAAAGTAAAAACCCGAACCAAGTTTCAGTAACTAACATTTTTTACCTGATTAAATACACTCAACCTGCATTTAGGGTGGGTGTTGGCTAACTGAGCCAGGCACTATTCTAATGTAGACAAAGGTTCGCAGAGTCAAACTCCTCCCACAACTTGAGTCTGAGGCACTAAAGAGAAGACTACCTGCAGAGAAAAGGAAGAAGGAGCTGAGGGCGTGGCGCGCAGCGTGAGATCATCGGGAAGCGCCGCTTGCGCCACGGGCAGAGACGGCGCGTCATTGACGTCATCGTTGCACGACCGCTTGCCGGGAGTCTGGAGTCGAAGTCCGTGAGGTATTTTTCAAAGTTGTGGTTCAGTTTTTATCGTGCTTCTGTTTAAGTCCGCTTTTCCTGTTTTGGGATTCCCCTGTCATCCTCTGCGAAGACTGAGTGGAGCGGGATCAGGCTGAGTAACCTTCCAGGGATGGGCTCTCTCACAGCTGATCGCTGGGGCAGCATTGTTGCCGGTCCCCGACTTCCGCTCGTCTTGTGGGTGCTTGCAGGCTGTGGCTTACCTCGGCCCCTCATTTCTTTCTCTGGCTCCGGTCTTTTTTTCTCCGTTTGTTAACCACCCGCTTCTCAAATCTTAGAAGACGAAGAAATTAAAAACAAACACCGGAAAACGCGACTTCACAATTTTCGGCTGTCAGATGTTGCTTTGGGAGAGAGGCTAAAGTGGAATGTTTAGGGGGAGTAACTTGACGTGCTGACTCCGTTTATCGTTCACATTCACGATCACAGACCGCCTGCCGCTGCAGTATTAGCCCGTCTGAGATAGTGGGCTAATTTCGACCTTTAGTTAAAACCTGTAGTGGGTAATCCAAGAGAGCAGTTTTTCTTGATGACCCTTGACTCAAATTTGTTTTTTTTTTTTTTTTTTTTTTTTTTTTTTTTTTTTTTTTTTGAGACGGAGTTTCGCTCTTGTTACCCAGGCTGGAGTGCAATGGCGCGATCTCGGCTCACCGCAACCTCCGCCTCCTGGGTTCAGGCAATGCTCCTGCCTCAGCCTCCTGAGTAGCTGGGATTACAGGCACGCGCCACCATGCCCAGCTAATTTTTTGTATTTTTAGTAGAGACGGGGTTTCACCATGTTGACCAGGATGGTCTCGATCTCTTGACCTCGTGATCCGCCCACCTCGGCCTCCCAAAGTGCTGGGATTACAGGCTTGAGCCACCGCGCCCGGCCCAAATTTGTTTTAAAATAGCTTTAATGTCTTCATGTTTGCTGACTGCAATTCAGTTTTGGCTTGATAAAGATGTATTTGTCGCAATGAGATGTTTGCTATCCACTTATTAACCTATTAGGATTGTCTGGTGGTAGACTAAACCAAGACTTAACTGTGATTTTTTCTTTTCTTTTTTTTTTTTTTTGAGATGGAGTCTCGCTCTGTCCCCCAGGCTGGAGTGCAGTGGCGTGATCTTGGCTCACTGCAACCTCCGCCTCCCAGGTTCAAGCAATTCTCCTGCCTCAGCCTCCCGAGTAACTGGGATTACAGGCACGTGCCACCATGCCCGGCTAATTTTTGTATTTTTAGTAGAGATGGGGTTTCACCATATTGGTCAGGCTGGTCTTGAACTCCTGATCTCGTGATCCGCCCACCTCAGCCTCCCAAAGTGCTGGGATTACAGGCGTGAGCCACCGTCCTGCCTCACTGTGATTTTTTTTTTTTTAAATTAAAAATCTTGTGGGTACATCGTAGGTGTATATATTTAGGGGGTACACGAGATGTTTTGATATAGACATGCAGTGTGTAATAATCACATGTAAAATGGCGTATCCCCTCAGGCACTTATGCTTTCTGTTACAAACAATCCAATTACACTCTTTTAGTTACTTAACCCTATATTTTTGACTCAAAAATAACAGATGAGCCCTATTGAAGTAAAGAGAAATGTTTGTGATTGGTGGAAATGATAGAACTCACTGTTTTGTTGAAAGATAATGACAAATTTGAATAATGGTTTTTCAAAATAATCAAAATTCGCAGAGTCAAAAGATGTTACAGCTGCCTTCAGTTAGCTGTCTTGTATGATATATCAGAGTTCAGAAGTAATAGAATTATTTTCTTAACTGCTTTTACCTTTTCAAATAGCTCTTCGTATGTATTATCTCAGCTACTGTTTCCAAACAGTTAACCCTTCAAGCATGGCTCTAAATAGTCTACATTGTATTGGGATATTTGATCATTTTTATTTTTAGTAAAATGTTAGCTAATATATTCAGTGCTAACTGAGCCAGGCACTATTCTAATGGCTTTTGTCTATGAATTTTAATCTGTGCAACAACCCTATATACTGTTACCATTATTTCCTAGATGAGATTATTGTAATAAGCAACTTCCATATGTTTTGGAAGGTAATTTTGCTGCTTGATTGCTATAATTTTGGAAATGCTTTGAATTAAACATTGAATAGAAGTAAATTGACTCTAATTACTCATCTCAATCTTGAGCAATCTTCTCATAATTTATATACTCTCCTATTATTAGACCTTGGGATAAATTTATCTTTAGATGTTAATATCTTTGTTAGGAAAGGAAGAAGTATATGTTTACTCAGGAATTGTACTATGAGACTGAAGGAGAGTTGCAGACAACACTAACACAGACTCACTGTTTAGTGACAGCAACATTTATTGAGAACTTGTGTGTAAATTTCATTATTCTTTTCTCCTAAGATAATGCAGGGCAAAAAAAGCCATTATAGTAATTCATTTCAGTCCTAGAATTCGGGGCAACAACAGCAAATGGCTCTCAAGTTCCAAAAAACAATTATGTTGAATTTGTTCTCTGGCTTAGTTCATAACTGTGTATAATTGTTTGGTGTAGAGATGAGAAGAGCCCCAGAATGTACGTTATCATATATTTGTTTGGATTTATCTGGTGACTTTCTATTATTTGTAAGCTCAAACTGTAATCTGATATCAAGAGTCTTAGTCTCCCAAAGTGTTGGAATTACAGGTCTGAGCCTGGCTGTGATTGTCTTTTTAATATGTCAACTTGGTTTGGCTGTAGCCCCCAGATATTCAGTCAAACATGAAACTAGGTGTTGCTGTGAAAGTATTTTGAAGCTGTGATTAAAATCCGTGATCAGTTAAGTAAGGGAGATTATTCTAGATAATCTGGGCGGGCCTAATTCAATCAGTTGAAAGGCTTTAGAAGCAGAGCTGTGGTTTCCCCTACAAAAAAAGAATTCCACTTGTAGACAGCAGTTTCAGCTAGTAGCCAAGAGTTCCAGCATGAGTTCCTTCCTTGATAGCCTGCCCTATGTAAACCAGTGTCTTGCTGTAAGTCTCTTAATGTATATCTCCTACTGGTTCTGCTTCTCCAGTTGCAACCTGACTTGTGCAAAGGGTAACTCCTCTGATGTTCCTGTTCTCCAACTAAATGGGGTGGGAAGTGGTAATAACGGTCAGAGAATCTACATTGTTTAGGGTAAACTTATAATTTTTTGTTCAAACTGGGACTTCTGAGAAAGAAAGGCACTGAGCCAATGGCAAGCTGAAACAACAGGCATTAAGGTGGAACTGTCTTGGCCAGATTGAGAGATCTAGTAACCTGTGTGTCAGTCACTGGGGATACAACATGCACATGACACAGCCCCTCAAGGAGCTTATAGTCAAAGGGGAAGTCAAGTAAATAAAAATACATTAAGATATAGTGGTTTTTTGTTGTCGTTGTTAGTTCTTTTTTTTTTTTTTTGAGACAGTCTTTCTCTGTCACTATACTGGAATGCAATGGCTCGATCTTAGCTCACTGCAACCTCTGACTCTGGGGTTCAAGCAATTCTCCTGCCTCAGCCTCCTGAGTAGCTGGGATTACAGGTGTCCACCATCACACCCAGCTAATTTTTGTATTTTTAGTAGAGATGGGGTTTCATCATGTTGGCCAGGATGGTCTCGATCTCCTGACCTCATGATCTGCCCACCTCAGCTTCCCAAAGTGTTGGGATTACATGTATGAGCCACCTCTCCCGGCCAAGAGATAGTGGTTTTTTTTTTTTTTTTTTTTTTTTTTGAGATGGAGTTTCACTCTTGTTACCCAGGCTGGAGTGCAATGGCGCGATCTTGGCTCACCGCAACCTCCGCCTCCTGGGTTCAGGCAATTCTCCTGCCTCAGCCTCCTGAGTAGCTGGGATTACAGGCACGTGCCACCATGCCCAGCTAATTTTTTGTATTTTTAGTAGAGACGGGGTTTCACCATGTTGACCAGGATGGTCTTGATCTCTCGACCTCGTGATCCACCCGCCTCGGCCTCCCAAAGTGCTGGGATTACAGGCTTGAGCCACTGTGCCCGGCCGAGATAGTGTTTTAAGTGACATGACAGATTATATAGTTGTTGTGTTTATCCAGACAGAGGGCATAGAAGGAGAGCAGATAAGTCTTCGTTGGTTGAACTGAAATATGTTTTTTACCTCCAAAGATAAGCAGCGTTTGAACAAAGTAGAAGGGCATTTCAGGCTTAGAGAACCACACAGGTGAAAGTTGAAACTGAGAGAACATGGCACATTTGGAAAACTGCCATCATGGCCACAGCTGTAGGATTGGAAGAGGGGAGCCATGAAAGATAAGGTTAGGCAGACAAGACATCATAATGGGCCTTGGATCTATGCTGAGGGGTTTGGAATTGTCTTCCATGTGGTAGGGAACTGTTGCAGAATTTTAAACAGGAGTACCATGACCAGACTGTTAAAAGCATATTTTGTAATATTCTAAAACTGGGGGTAGAGAAAAATTGATAATAGGGACACTACTCAAAGGCTGTTGAAATAATCTAGTTAGTGAGAATAGAGGAAAGCTTGTGGTGTAATGAGATTAAGGAAGCCCTATTGACAGGACTGATTGGATTTGGGGTGACTCCCAGGTTTCTGGCTGGACTGGTTACCCTGAAGTAGATAATTGAAGGGAAGAGGTAGCTGATGACTTCAGTTCTGTATGTGATGCTATACACTATTCTCCTTTCAGAACTTTGGCTTCTGTATAACCAGTGAGAGTAGAGATTGAGTGGCAGTAACATCCGTTAGGGATACTGGGCAGCATCCCCCTACCCAGGTGCTTAGTCTCAGCCACATCTGAGTGGCGAAGAGAAGCAAGTTTTCTCAAGCCCTCTCTGTCTGTCTCTATCTCTGCAGCCAGTGTTTTAGAAGGAGTACCTATAGAACCCAGGAGGAGGGGTGTGAAGAGCAGAGTTTGGTGAGTTATTTTCTTTGGAAATTTGAACATGTTCTTTAACCTCACTGTGGCTCAGTTTCCTCATCTGTGAGGTTTAGATGAACGAGTGCATATGGAATGTTTA